CTGGCCTCCCCCTTTTCCCTCTTGGAAAAACTTTCCACTCCAGACAACCCGCGGTTCCCCTTCACGTTCCCGAGCAGTTCACAAATCAAGCGGTGAAATCAGGGAAGCCCAAAAGCAGCTTGACTGGATCCGGAGCTTAGGAAATGCATTTGTTTCTGCCCTATTGCACCTCCCAAAACACTCTCTCTCTCTCCCCCCCCCCCCCCGCCAGCCACCATGGCAAAGAAGGTCCCCATCGTGGCCAAAGAGGCTCCTGCCCTTTCAGGACAAGATGCCCCGAAAAGCTGGTCTCCCAGGGGTGCCCCCCATGTCCCAGCCAAGACCAGAGTTCGCCAGCGACCCAGCGGGCAAGGGGCTGGCTGGGCCATTCAGCCCATCGGCATCTGGAGAAAGCAGAAGGGGTAGCCAAAACCTTGCACCGGCTGCAAGGAGCTGCCACACTGCAACAAATGGTCATTACAGAGGGCCGTCAATCATCACGACAGACTCAGGTGTTTCACAAGACCAGGTTAGAATGGCCAGCTTTCTCAGTCTTACCTCTGCTGTCGGACTACAACTCCCATTATCCCCCAGCAGCTGTACTGAGCAGAGGGGAAGAGGTTTGCTTGCACCTAGTCAGAACCGGTCAGCGAATGCGGCTGGAGTTTTTACCACCTTGCACGCTGCCTATGGATCGCTTGGCTGGGAGGGACCGGTCTAGGCTGGGGTGACTTGTCAATCTATCCAGCATTGATCAACCATTCCTGCCCTGCCTCTAAATTCAAAGAGAGCCCCGCCCCTCTGCACTGTGTCTTTTTCCTCTTTTTAGTCTGTTGCTGAAAGCAATCCTGTTTGTTGGTTTGCTGTTGGATCCGTTCAATTGTAAGTAATTGAACTACCTCAGGCCTGTAATCTGGGTGTGCTTTTGGATTTGGCCCTCTCAACAGAGAAACATATCTTGACCGTGGCCTAATCTGCTTTTTCCATTGAGGCAGATGGTGCATCTCTGCCCGCTTCTCCACATGAAGGCCCTAATAACATGGAGCCATGTGTTGGATTGACTACTGCAATGCTCTCTACAAGGGGCTAACCTTGTTGAAGGCGGCGTGGAAGCTGCAGCAAGAGCAAAATGTGGCCGCCAGGTTGGTCACTGTAGGCATCCTTCAGTCTCGAGAGAATATGGTAATGTGCTCTGAATGGAGGACTTGGAACAGTGCCTAGTGTTCATTTTAAAAAAAAGCTGTATATTTTTGCTACTTTCTTGTAGCCGCCCAGAGGAGTGGCTTGTACAAGTTTAAGCCAATAAAAAAGTAAAGTCAAAATAATGTATCGGAGTGAGTTACTGAGAGACTGTAAATGACAGTTCATGAGAAAAGGGGTGGGCTAATCCGGGGGAAACTTGAAGCTAATTCTGCTCTGTGAATCCCTGCACTTCGGTGACGCAGCTGGAGGAATTTAGCCCCAAATTCACAACTCTGCAACAGACACCAGAGTCCTCTTTGTCGCTCCTTGTTCAAGGTGGAGAGGGTCAGGAAGTGGGGTGGCCAGCAGCACAGGAAAGGGGTGTTGTTGGGGGGGGGCAGAAGGCACCTTGCTCAGCCTGAGCCCTGATTTTGAACCTCCCAGACTTAGAAGCGCATAAAACCCTGGGCGTTGGTAGGGTTGCGACATGTCGTTTAAAACTGGACAAACAAACCAAGAAATCAAGGCAAATTCCCCGTGACGAGACACGACAGGAAGCCGCAAAGGCTTACACTGAAATAAATCTGCCGATCTTAAAGGACTCGCACGTCCCTGCTTTGTGCTGTTTTGCCAAAAAGAAAATAACCGATCCACTCTTTGAAAGCAAAACAGGAATAAAAAGTAAAACAATGGAGCCATCCCTTTTTGGGTCTTTTTCAAACTTTTTATTTCTGCTTTGCTTTCATCTCTAACGGTTGCCCCGACTAACACGGCGACCCGCGGCTAGAACCTCTTAGAACGTCATTTGGCACCGGCCTTGTTTTGGAACGTCCCTTGATTTATTTAATAAATCCATGCATTGCTTCACAGCCCAAAACTGACGACGCCTTGACCATACAGGGATCCGTTCCTAAATTCATGAGTTGGCTTCCAGCCCCAACAGAAGCTCGCCGCTGTTTTCCCCCGTGTGCATTTTTAGAGAAAAACCAGGGCGGTCACTGCTCAAAAAAAGGAACGGATCGATCAAGAAACCCGGCCGCTTTTCTGAAATGCAAAACAAGAGATTCTCAGGCACGCTCTGGCCCAGGTCTTGAGGTGAACATGCATCACCCCAGGGAGAAAAGTGGCACTTTCCCCCCCAGCAAAAAGACTGGTTAGACCACTAGGGGGAAAAAACCTCTCTCCTTGACGTGGACAAAAACCCTCGGCAGGAAAGAAGGCCCAGCCTTGAACCCAAGTCACATCAACCACTGAGACCTGATGCCAGGGAGCTGGGATCCTTGGCAGTTGCGCCCCTAAACAGCCGGGAGAGCAGAGCAATGAAAAGTTTCTCTTTCCGGACTACCCCTGCCATCGTCTCCTATTCTGGAAAAGCGTGACCGATACTTCTGTCGTTGATCTGAGCCAGTGAGTATTTTCCTGACTTACGGAGACCCCAGAAAGCAATGGCCTCCGAAAGGTCCAGCAGGCACTGCAGCGAAAGACGGAGATGATAATGCTCGGATGACTTCGAGTCAGGCTAGAGTCAACCCCTTCACCCTATGTCCTGCCACCCATTTTGGTAGATCATCCATATTACAGAGTTATACGGACCCCCTACAACCTGTAGGAGGTTTACAATCTGTTGCTTTGTGTTGTTCGGCTATTTCGGACTCCTGACCATCCTAGAGGTGAACCGTCTCCAAAACGGCCTGTCCTCAACAGCCCTGCTCATCTCTTGTATCAACCAAACCCCTGTGGCTTCATTTGGAGAGTCAGTCCATCTCATACTCAAGTCTTCCTCTTTTCCTGCTGCCTTCCATTTTTCCCAGCCTTATTTTCTCTTCCAGAAAAGCCCACCTTCTCATGGTGTGTCCAACCCATTGACAGCCTCAATGTCCTTATTATTTGCCTGCAAGCATAGGCTTGATTTGATCTAAGATCCACTTCTTGGTCTTTCTGGCAGGCCATGGTTCCCCATACCAAAGGTTTATATAGACATTTAAGGCTTGATGCAGACCCCTTAAATGGGGGGGGGGCTCCCATTTTGTGGCATAACCGCCATGTTGCTCTCCGTTTTCCTGCTTTAAGTCAATGTGTCTTGTCACTCAGGTAGCTGCTATACGTCTGTCTTTCTCAATTTTTTGGCCGAACAGCGGGAACACAGCCAACTTCATCTGTGGAAGGTTAGGGGCAAATAGAGCGTTTTATGAAAGGCTAACTCTGGGTCATTGCAATTTTACCTGATACTTTAATACAGATTGTTCTGCTTTACAATTTTATTTCACCGTTGCATTGCACACCGTTAGAAATCCACTGGTTTTTCTTGGATTCCTTTTGCGACATAAATGTGCCTTCATTTTCTGAATCTTATTCCCTATTTATCTGCTGGGATGTAAATAATTCTTCACATGAATGGCACCTGCAGATCATCTCGAGCCGCGCTCTCCACCCAACCCTTAAGGCAGAGAACGGACCTCATCACCAGACGTCTGTGCGGTTTTTACTCAAGAGGCAAATCAATGTAGACAAGGTTTCTTGACCAAGGAAGCCACCGGCTTGAGCTTTGCAAGACCTGAGCAGGGCTATTGAGGACAGAACATTTTAGAGGGTCTCCCAAAGTCGGAAGGCTCGCTTTGCTTCGCTGTTCTGTTTCTGTTTTCAGGGATCCAACCAAGGTACCACCCCCACCCCCCAACCCAGAACAGACAATGCAGTTACTTTGGGGTCCGAGATTCCTTTCGAGAATCCCGTGGGGCTCATTCCTGGGTCAGGCTTGGTGGTCACCCATTCGCACAAGCCAAAACTTTTGCCTCTTATCTCATGTCCAGCTTGGAAGTAACAAGTTACAAGTAATTGAACTACCTGGCACGAGTTACTTTCTAGGGCAAGAGCCGCACAACAGTGGTGTGTTCCAAAAGGGAATAAGCAAAGTTCTTTTCCTCCTCTAACGAGCAATGTTTTCTAATGGCTCTCAAGAGTTACTTTTTAAGGGCACATGAGGGCATTTTGAGAGCCAGGGTGGTGGCATGGTGGGGATCCTGAGTTCGGATCCCCACCTGGCTATGAAAACTCCCTGGGGGGTCTGTGGCAATGATAAAAACCACTCTTTAAATATCTCACGCACTCCGAAAACCCTCTCAGAGTCGCCGTACGTCAGAGGTTGACCTGTCGACACAGAATAACCAAAAGGCATTTATGAGGAATCTGGAGAATAATTTCTTCTTTTCTACAAACCAAAGGGAAGCAAGAAGGAGGAAATAGCAGAGAAGAGTAAAAAGTTCCTTTTCAGCCCTGAAATGAGTTCCTTCCTCAAGACTCTCATGGGAACAGATTCCTTTTAGAAATCAGAATCCATTGCTCTTCCTACATTGTCCTTTTCCGGTTTCAAGGAACCACGAGCCGGGCGTTTCTGCCATTTTTCTTCTTTTTGATAGGTTTTCTCTTGACCGCACCCATAGTTAGTGCTCACTGTGAGCAGATGCCACGTTTTGGTGCAAATGTGTGGCATACTTTATTTGGAAATCTTCCAAAGTGTTTCTGTCTTACCGCAGCGCTACAGCGCTAAACCGAAACAGCGTTGATTTGAAGGCATACCTTGTCAATTTAGCGCTATTTTAATGGCTAAAGTTTTTTTTTTAAAAAGGAAAATGTCTGAATGCCTAGTTGGAAGGCTGAAGTTGTTGTCTTGCATCGTACGTCTGTGTACACACAACACCCCTGCGTGTGTTAGGAAACAACGTTGAGTCACCTGG